AAAAGATTTAAAAACAAGCTGGTAACAATTAATAGGAAAAATGAGTGGTAAAAAAAATTACAAGGCATACAATTCATTTTTATGCAATATAATTATTACCATTGAATTCTACACCTTTCAAAGTGTAGGAATCAAATTTACAATGTCAAAAAATAATGAAAAACGAGCCAGTAACAGCTAATTGTACATATGAGTTAGCAGAAAAAAAAAAAAAAATCAAAGTTGTTTTTATGGTAAATGGACTTTACCATTAAATTCTACACCCTTCAAAGTGTAGGAAAAAATTTTAAAAAATCAAAAAAACTCAAAAATAATGGTAGAAATAAATTAATTAATAAACGCGCGTTTAAACGCGGAATGCGCGTGTGCTGCGGCGCGGCAAAAGCGCGTCAAAACGCGGAAAATGCGGGTTTTTTTATTAAGGCCCATCAAAAATAGTAAAAAAACTATAAAATAAAATAAAAATAAATCCATCAAGACATTTAAAAATTCAACCCCATTGAATAAAGGGGCCCCTTGAATAAATTCAAATCAAGTAAAAATAAAACAGCAAAATGGAGTAAAACAGAACAAAATAAAATAAAACAAAACAATAAAATAAAATAAAATAAAACAATAAATTAAATAAAATAGAATCCAGGGAATCATCCTCCAATGAGAGGAGGAAAAATTGGCAAAAAGGAAATATCAGTAAAAACAGAGAGAAATGTATGCCCTCTTGAGCATATGGGAGGCAAAAGCTTCCTTCTTATTGGTTGGTTAAATGACCAAATATCATCAAAAGTAGAAATCACTGCTAATGATATTCAATTGATTGAAGAATCAAGCAAAACATGAATTTCACGTGCACTACTTAGGAGTTAAAACCCACATCAATGAAACAGAAGCAATAAATTGAAAGAAACAGAAGGAAAGTTAAAGGAGAGGACACAAGTAGAAGTAGGGGACACAAGTAGAAGGAGGGGAACATAAGCAAGAAATTTAATCTGAGACAAAATATGGAGAAGGAGAGGAAGACATGAAGAATAAAATTAGTAATGAGTAGTCTGTGGGAATAAAATTTTGCGTCCAACAGTCAGAACATAACAAGCTGAACACTTCTCCTCCCACGGTAAAGCCTCTGGTACGGCGTCTTCCTTCCAATCTTTCATAAGTTGTGGTGCAGGAAAGTATACAGGGTCAAACATTTCCAAGGCAACAAAGTGATTGGGGACATGAGCAATGCAGATGGGGGGATTGTTGTTGGGGGGACAGAAATAAGGGAGAAAACTTAGAGAACCATGTAGAGAAAAGAAGAAAACGGCAGTCTTGAAGGCATTGGCCATAGCTTCACCGAAGGAAGGCAATATTGACATCCATTTGTCAACAGAACAGGGTTCAGGCGTGTCGACCTTGAGGCTGTCCAACATCTTGTCGATTCGATGGAAGATTTGCTTTTTGACATACCATTCCCTCCGGCTGGTGATTTTGGTGATGAGTGCCTCGCGGATCCGCATGTAATCACCCTGGTCTCATCCCAAACACCACACAACCGCTCGGTAGCCACAGTGACCATCGGATCTTGGGTTGAGGATGCTTTTCACTGAGTCCTTGATTATGTTGGGGAGATACTGGCGATAGAAGGATGAGTCCGCATCGGCTGGCTCGTTTTTGTCAAATGGTTTGGGGGGAAGGACCGCGGGTTGCTTGTTGGATGGGGGTTGATCTTTTGCAGGGAGGCTCGCAATTTTGATGGGTCGAATCTTCTTCTTTGGGGCCGGTCCTATTTTGGTGGGCGGGGAATCCTCTTTCTCAGTCGTGGAGGGTGCGGCTTCGTTGGGCTTTGCAGGAGGTAAGTCAATTTTGGCTGGCGGGGGCGCTTTGACCCAAGCGCGACGAGGTGGGAGGATCCTCTTGCTTGGTTGGGGGCTGTTTTTCCTGGCCTCAGCTGCCTCAATCTGTTCTTCTTCTTCCAACGCCTCGTCTTCTTCTTTCTGTAATGCCTTCTGGTCAGCTTTTCGGAATGCCTTCATGGACGCTTTCGCATTGTTCAGCTTCTGTTTCTTTGCTTTGACAGCTTCACTCTCTTCTTTCTTCCTCTTCTTCTCGACATGTTCGAACTCTGACAGATCCTGTTTGGTGGTCCTTGGTTTGTTTGTTGCGCCTTTCGGTTGTCCTCGAGTCTTCTGAGCTTTGGTCGGCAGCTGGACATCTACTACCGCCCGCGATCCTTCAAGCAGCTGCTTGATGGCGGCGATTTGGATTGCCTGCTGGGCTAGATTCATCAAACGTAGCCGATCCGTTATCTGCTCAATCATCGGGTTATCATTCTGGGTCTGGGTTGCCCTTGGGGATGAATCACGTCTGAGGACCTGAGGTGGGATTCATGTCAGAACCAAATGGAAACAGATGGGAAGAACAAAATGGAAACACATGGGAAGATATATGAAAACATACATTCATGTGCCATTGGAGATGGAAATCTTCCGGTGATACCATTCCTCCCGATTGTGAGATTTCCAAGAGTTGATGTTTGCAAGGTATGCCCATTCGTTGGACATATCGTTGATTGCAATGCGCATTTGCATTGAGTTGCTTCCCGGCCGTAAGATTCTTGAAAGCCTGACCGAGGGCATAATTCGTGATCTTCCCAAGGCAGGGTCGGAAGATGCTGCCAAGGTATCGAAGTGTCGTGATCTTTTGCTGGAAATGGATGCTGGTGATCTGGTGATATTGCTCTGCAATTGCATTGCTGATGAGCTGGACCGCCGAGGCAAAAGTTTGTTGTGGCCCAAGGAGGTGAGACTTGATGAATGCATGGGCCGATTCCATTTGCGAGGTTGTCCGGTTGTTGAAATGAGTCACGGTGCATGTCCACGCATTGGAGTAGTGTTCGGCAACAGGTAACCAGGTTGAGGAGGCATATGCTTCAAAGTCTGGCCCATATTTGTGGGCCCAGCGGGAGAAACTAGCTTGAAAATCGGACCGGGTCGAAATCTTCACTATGTTCATCCAGTATTGAAGCATATCCTTTTGTTGTTCGTCTGTGGCAATGAGTTTTGCACCTTTGGCCAAGAGATTCTTCTGAATATGCCGAACACAAAGCATGCGGTGGGTGTTGGGGAACGAGGTTGCAAGGGAATTCATTAGAGCCTGCTTGCGATCCGTGATGACAACAGGAGGGAGGGGGATCTCGTTGCTTTGGAAAATCGTCAGAAGTGATTGCAGGGCCCAATCGTAGAACGGCTCGGTTTCCTCCGCCATGAAACAGAATGCGACACTGAACGTCTTGTTTGAACCAGTGATTCCAGACACGTGGAGCAGAGGCATGCGGTACTTATTTGTCTTATATGTGCAGTCAAGTAGGATGATGTGGTGGTATGCCTTGAGGAGCTTCAGGGAATCAGAGTGACAGAAAAAAAGCGCTTTGAGGTTACCTTCTTGATCTACTTTGGTGGCGGTGGTGAAGTTGGTGTTGGCCAGAGTTTTGTTCAAGTGAACAATGGGACTTATACCTTGAAGCGTTTCCTGGCGAGCCTTTTTCCGGGCCGTGTAAATCCTGCTGACGGTTGCTAGTATGATCTCATTCGGGTGAGTCTTCTTCAGGGACCGGAGTATCTTGCTAGGCCTCAATCCTGCCTCGCCAAGAGCCTTCATTTCTTCATAAAGACGTGGTGTGAACCTTCTGTTGGTGGTGTGCGCAGACATGCTTTCCGACGGCTCGTGATTATGAGCGCCCGTCCTCACTCGGAAGTCCCACTGATTGACACCCTTTTTGTGAAAGTAAGCTGTGGCCTCCCATGGGCACCGTATCAACCGAGTCGAACGAGCCTTCCCGTGAGTTTCCCCCGGGCGCTTATTTTGGTCTGGATGGCCACCTCTAGAATCCCCAAATGAACAGTACCAGTCAGTAACCCAAACGCAACGTACAAGACATGGTGAGAGACGGAAAAGACCAAATTCGGGCTGCGTACCTGTCACATTTGAAGAGCTTGCTCTTTCCTTCGACTGTTCGCCTGAGCACAATTGCATAGCCATTATGCCATGCAAAGCGCTTAACATCGTCAATCATGAACTTGGGATCGGCGTAAAGTGCTGCGGGGGGGTTCGGGAAATCATATAGGCGGCAGTTTGTCTTAGGACAGATCCGGTAGTTGTCCGGGTTGAAGTTTGTAACGAAATCGGTTCGGTCATTGACAGGGTCCTCGCCTTCACCTTCCTGATTAGCGTTACCCGTGCTGGGGCCAGGGGCCACCTCACCGATGTCTTCGCGTAAATCCTGAGTTTCCTGAACCGGGTTGAGACTCTCCAGTTGCTCATGCAATATCTCAGCGATTGCGGCCTTGTCTTCGTCTGAATCTTCCTCAAGGATTTCGTCCAGAACATCCTTGGAGAGCTCTTCATATATTTCATTGACAGTCTTCTCTGTCTTCTCTTCCTCTTGAATTTCTTCATGTTGAGGTCCTTGGGAGTTCTGGGATGCACAGAAGTCCTGCGTGAGTTGTAAGAGGGCGGGGTCGATACCGTCTAGAGGGTTTCCCGAGGATTGGATAACCTCATCTGGTGGGGCTTGACCAGATGGGACGGCCGGAGAAGCTGGAGAAGCTGGGATCTGACCATGAGCCTGAGTGAAGACAGTCGGGGAGGCAGCGGCTGGAGTGGCTTGAGGGGAAACAACCGCGGGTCCATTGGCAACATCTTGAGGCATGAGGTCAGAGGGTGAGGGTGGAATCTCACTGTGAGGCTGAATGTTGCTGTGGGTCAACATGGGGGCAGGATCATGTTCACCGGGGGAACGACCGGGTACGGAGTGGCCGGCGTCGATACCTTCAGAGAGTGGGCCTCCTGAGAACATGATAACCTCATCATCTTCAGCAACGGGGAGGTTTGCGTCTGGAGGTTGGGACATCACGGCAGGTCTGTCAGCAAGAGCATGAGGGGTGGAGACAGAGTAGAGCCAGAGGGTGGAGACAGAGGGTGAGGAATGAAATGAAACTCGCCGTGGAGGCCAGTTAGAACCATCAGTGGTTATTCCAATGCTTGTTGCCCAGAGGTCCACCGAACGCAATCGCTCCGACCGTAAGTGAGCCTTTAAGCCCGTCTATCACGCCGTCTCCTTTGACGCAGTTGAGGGGGTTGAGGGGCATCTTGGGCTCCTGAGTAGTCTTGGTGGAAGTATTGAGGCTCTTCATGAGGTCCTGAGGGGTCTTAGTGGGCGGCTTCAGACTCATGAGGGTCTTCATGAGGTCCTGAGGGGTCATCGTCGGGGCCTGAGGTGTTTGAAGGGCCTTCATGGGGGTCTGTTGGGTCTTCTTGGGGGCCTGGGCGGTTTTGAGGGCCTTCATGGGGGTCTGTTGGGTCTTCTTGGGGGCCTGGGGGGTTTTGAGCTCCTTCATGGGGGTCTGTTGGGTCTTCTTGGGGGCCTGGGGGGTTTTGAGCTCCTTCGTGGGGGTCTGTGGGGTCTTCTTGGGGGCCTGAGGGGTCTTGCAGGGGCTCCTACAGGGGCTGGGTTGCTGATTGGGTGGGCTGGGTGGCCT